CCCCAAAACCCCAAAACCCCAAAACCCCAAAACCCCAAAACCCCAAAACCCCAAAACCCCAAATTATATCATTTCGATAATAATTTTACAGCCACAGTCTTCAAATGATAGCGAAACATTCCTTATTAAAATCAATCTTTGCAACAAAATCGTTCTCTCAAACAAATAAGGCGTTGAAATACGCCACCACCGAACATAGAGAAAGCAGAGTTATAACCCAGAAAAAACTGACGAAGCTGAACCGGTTCAAAGACGACCACATAAATTCTCAAGTAAACCATCCATTAGCAAAGAGGAAACCCATTTCAGCATTTTCAAAGCAGCACCCTTCGAATATCGATGACAAAGACACATATGCCATCAGTTACAAACGGCCAGTGAAGCCTCTGGCTCCGCGGTACACTATTCCTGTTGAAGCAGTGAACAATTTACATATTCCGTTTGACTCTCCGACTGGAAGTAGATTCTGTGAAACAATCTGAGTCGGGCCTCCAAATGCAGGCAAAAGCACCATCATCAACTCATTCGTCGGGAGTGACTTGTCAGCAGTGAGCGACAAAACAGGGACCACAGACGAGATCAGAGACTTTTACTTCACTAAAGGCATTACTCAAGTCCGGTTGAGAGACACTCCTGGAGTCATTACAGCCAACCGGCTTCCGAAGAGCAGTCATTTAGAAACAAAGTGCTGGGAAGCTATTCCAGAAGCTGATTTGACAGTATTCATTGTTGACTCTGTAAAGAGCATGGACAACACCGTCAAGAAAGCAGTCCACAGACTCAGCCAGATGAGAGTGGATCTGAAACAAAAAGAACTTCTTCACAGAATGGAGTCCAAAGACTTCGAGTTCTCAAGTGTCGATGACAGTCATTACGAAAGCGATGAGCCAAGAATTGCTCCAGTAAACTCGATCCTTGTCATGAACAAAGTCGACCTCGTTTCGAATCGAAGGAGGTTCAATTACATCAAGCAAGAACTCCAGGACATTGGAAACTTCGACTATGTGTTCCATCTGAGTGCATTGACAGGGTACGGAATGGAAGAGTTGTCTGAATACATTGTCTCCCAAGCAACAAGAAGAGACTGGAAAGCCCATCCTGAAGTGAAGTCAGACCAAACAGAAATTGACATTGTTCAAGAAGTAATGAAGCAAGCAGTTTACAAAAGTTATTTTTACGAAGTTCCGTATCAAATTGGAGTTGACTGCATAGGGTGGGTTCCTAAAACAAATGGAGAGCTTCTCGTTGACTACAAGTTGCATGTACCCAAGAACAGTGTAAAATAAAATTGTCATCGGAAGGAAAGGAAGAATAATCAAAGGATTAAGACAAGAAGTAGAAGCGGAACTATCAAAGCACTATCAGAAACCTGTACAAGTTTGAATACAAGTTGTACTCGAGAGAAATTATGCAATACCTTCAATTGTTTCAAGGTAATTTCAATCTAAGATATCTTAGATGGGGTTTTGGGGTTTTGGGGTTTTGGGGTTTTGGGGTTTTGGGGTTTTG